ATAAAAGAAATTCCCATTTCAGTTTTCATAGCATTCTATTGGATCATTGCCACCCAACTCTTTATGTATGTCTTAAAGCTGCTCTTGTGCTACAGTAGCAAAGTTACACAGTTATAGCAGAGACAATATTCCAACAAATCCAAAAATATTTACTACATGACCTTTACAGAAAATGTTTAATGATGGTTTATAAAGGCATGGCTGTATTCATTTCATTTTTATTGATAGTTCTATGTATGAACAATTCTACTAGTGAATTGTTACTAGTAGAATTGTTACTAGTGAATAATGCAGACTACTTAGACTAACACTAAAGTGTTAACAATCAACTCATTCACTATCTAATTAAAGACACAATCTGGCTTTCATTACTGAAAATTGAGACTATGACGGGGTTTTCAATGCTAATGTTACATTAAGGAATTGAGTTGATCAATTTATCAAAGTTAGTGTAAAATAGCAACAACTCTTTTGCAGTATTAATTGTTTAATTTAACTTATGACAGCCCATAGGCTATGATGGTGGTGAATAAGTTTGGATTTTGGCTCAACCTCACTTCTGAGAATTTTCATTTCCACCCAAGATATACTGAATCTGATATTGTATTTCTGGGGAGGAAATGCAAATTCTCAGGGGATGGGAGTTGAACCAGAATGAATTGGTTCAAAACCCCGCTATCATTTGGCTGAAGTATCCACACAGTGAACCGAAAAGTCATGAGAAAATGAGTGTATTCTCCTTTTTAAATGAAATTATGAGGAAAAACTAAGAATACAACAGGATGGGCCTAAAAATTCCACCATTAGAACACTTACTAATTGATAACAAAAAGCAATGGAATATTTACTAATTGTTAATAAAAACAGGAAACTGTTTACTGCAAATGATTCAAAGTCATGCTCAAGCCCACTGGCTACCAGCACTGACACAGAGAGGCGTGCACACACAGAAGAGCGACAGAGAGCACACTGGAGGGGCCCGTCCACACGCCCACACGCATGCAGTGTAGCACCCGCTGTCCTACTTGTTGCAGAAGAAGGGGCGCTGCAACTCAGCAGCCAGTCTGCAGTATTTAAAACAGTCATGGTGTCCCCTGAGAACAGGAACGGTATAAGGGTTCATTGTCTGAATGCCTGCTGAGCGTACATGAATAATCTTCAAAGTTTGCATCAACTTCTGACCTTTCAGCCCCAATTTTAACTGCACTGTATGACTTTTGCTTTTCCAAGGCCATTTTAGTTCAGTGAATACACATGTACACGATATGATTTGTAAACTTCACAGTGTGTCTTCCTACAGTGCTTGGGATTTAAGCTGATTTTTTTTTATACCCAGTTTAAGGTTCAAGTATAAATGCTCAGACTCCAGAAGAAATCATGAAATAATCTTAAAATGTTGTAATCTTAACACTAATTAGCTGAAATCATATATATGTACATTTAGAGACAAATAAATATTATAAACGAGGAAAATGTTAATCTGCAAGGGGTGGGGAGTAAACATTATTAAATACAGGCAACTTGCAATGCACATTACTTTACAAAGAAAAGTTTAGATTGCACAATTATTCTAAATTAAATGGGGAGAGGTGTATCAAACAAATATTCATTGTAAAGAAAATATGATGTGGCAAATTCTAGTGTCTTGTTATACGAATAGTTTGTGGTTTAGAACAAACTCTTTAATGTATTGAGTAAAATGACCACATCTACAAAATTTTCAAAATGATGAATAATTTAAAATTCAGATAATAAATATCATACATATAGTTTATCTATGTACATATGCTGTTACAATATTCAAGTCTTGTTTTCTTACAGTGTGGGGCAGAGCATTTGAAATAATAACTGACTGTTGCTGTGTGACATAACTTAATTAGTGCTAATCCAATGAACAAACTACCCCATAAAATCTGATTCATCAGGGATTGCTCTCTCTGAAAAGAAAATGCAGCAGATATGAACATTTTTGAAACCCTAAAATAATTTTAAGGAAATCACATTTTTGAAAAATAAATGTGAGAAAGACTTTTCTCTTATCATTAAAAATGGAACCACAAAAATGGGGTGTACAGTCTCTTTTGTGTGTGGGTGGCAAATTCTATGGCCAGATTCTCAAATCCTTTTGGAATAATTTCAAGGATGGATACAAAGGGGAAGTCACACAAAAGGCCCTCAGAATATCACTCAGGACTAATTATTCTCTTTGAATGTTATCTATCTATAAAGGAGGTGCCAGTGCTTCAAGGAAATCAACATAAAAAATAAATAATACATGAAAGATACATTTTTGGGATATAATGCTGACCATGCTATTAACCCTAGGATATGTTTTTATTAGATACCTAACATGTGAAATCAAAGCAAGCATTAAACTATACTTTGGAAACTCATCTGGGTGACATTAACTATATGCTCTTTTGGTCAGTATTCTGATTATGTAATTGACATTGAGACATTTGTTTATTAGAAATCCCTTCACTTCAAATAAAAGCTATAACATTAAATGTGATTCTGCACATCCTCTGGATGGTACACTTACCTCCTGTCCCATTAGTGGTGACTGATGTGTTGCTGAGATTAGATTTATCCAGTTTGGAATTACCAGGGGTTTCACTACCTCCAACAAGAGCATGAGGACTTGCTAGCTCCTGCATTTCCATAGACCTGTGGAAGTAAGAAACAGCAGATCAATTATTGAAATCTCAGGCATTAAATGAAAGAGAATTTTAATTTTAACATGATCGCTTTCTAGTTCTCATGAATATAGATGAAAAGATATTTGCCAAAGCACTATCAAGTCAAATCGAGCAATAGAAAGGATAAGATTTCAAGACCAAGTACATTTTGTTTCAGAATGCAAGTTGGGCTGAATACAGGAAAACTGATGTAACTCAACAGTAGGAATCTGATTTATCAGACTCTCTTCTCACCTGCCAGCGGGAAAGACTTGTCTGCAACGTGGGACATAGACAAACCGAAATGAATCGTACGCATAGGCCCTACTTAAGTTTTATAATACAAGTGTGATGAGACTTAAAAAGAAGCAGGAACGTGTGGCAGCCTGGTGGAGAGGCAGCACAGTCCAAAGGAGCAGACCTGCAAACAACTCAGTAATTGGAATCAGCAGACAAAGATTTACAAACCATTATAATATATCCAATATATTTCTTTACTCCCATCTTTAACTATACAGTCATATATGTGTGTATGTATACACCCACACACACGATGGAACTTCAAACACTTGTGGGAAAATGTAACTGAAACAAGATGGATTGACACTGTGGGTATAATAATGAGCTCAAGTATCAAGAGCTATTGTGAGAATAAAATTTTGGTGTGAAAAATTGAAAGTTTTACACAAAATTTTTGAACCAGGTGTATTTTGTTAATGAAAAATTTAAACTGCATCTATGAACCTTATCTAACCGTATGAACCAATGAAAATTCTCAAACTGATGTTGCAATATGTTAAATAAAAAACATTCTTTTAATGGAGTTTAAAACAGTTGATTAGACATTACAAAAATTATATATATATATGAACTTAGGCCAATATAAATGATATGCACTGAAGCAGAGAAACATAAAAACTTTGGAAAAAATAACTGCATATACATGGCTTGTGAAATATTATCAGATTAAGAAAATTAGGCAAATAATATTGAAAAAAGTTGATTTCCTCTATGTTTAATCAAACAAGCAATACACATATAGATACTTGAAGTACAATGAATATAAAAAGAGCAAACAAAACAAAAACAACCCAGAGTGAAATATATTGTCATATTTTGAAAATAATAAATCAGAAAGATTTGGAGCAGCTAAATAAAAGGACACTTATAGGAGAATAAGAATAAAACAGTAATTTATTATTCACTAAAATAAAAAAAAACCTTTTGTATTGCTGTTGTTGTTAGGTGCCATTGAGGCAACACCAGCTCAGCAGCCCGATGTACAGCAGAATAGAACACTGCTCAGCCAGGGTGTCCTTGACAAGGTAGCTTGACAGAGTGGTTTCAACAATATTCAATAATACAAACTGGGCAACAGGCATGAGGATGATGCTGGATGAGGCATTGCTTCATTCTGCTGTGCCCAGTGTCTCTATGAATCTGAACCAACTGGATGGGACCTAAATCTATGGTAGGGTACCAGGGACCCGAGTTATAGTCCTATCTTAAACAGGGTAGGTAGGTTCTAAGCCTAATGACTTCTGAATTGTGTGTGCGTGCGCCGGAAGGGAGAGACACACACACAGGAAGCCAGATGCCATGTGAAAGTTGTCTCCGTGCCAACAAATGTCACAGAGCCAAGGAATGCTCAGGGCTACCAAGAGGAAGGAGTCAGCACAGCTGACATCCTGACTAGATTGTCAGCCTCCCAACCAGTGAGATGATGATTTTTTGTCCTTGAAAGCCACCCACCTACTTTGACTATTTGTGTTAGAGTGGCACAGAGTCACTACGATCTTTAATATACTATTTCAGAAATTATTATTACTTTATTCAAACAGTCCACAAGTTCAGCCATGTAGCTCCTTTCACGTACAATGATAGTTCCTGAAAACCATGTTAGTCAACTTTCAAGTTGCTAAAAATTGCTTACTTTCTCTATGAAGCTTTTCCTGATGCTCAAAAACAGAAGAGATCTCTCTCATCTCTCAATTGTCATATAACTATTTTCACCTCACCTTTAGCACTTATTATAGTGTGCCTTACTTTCATTTGTGGACACTTCTGCTTATTTGTTTCCCCTTGAAAACAAAGGGAAAAGAAACTACGTCCACAGCCCAACTCTGGGATAATTATTTAATTCTATTTATCTCTGTAACTCCTAAGGTACCCTACATGTAAAAGATACAAAAAATTAGGGGACCCTGCACGTGCCATTATCAGCCTGCTCTTGGTAACTGGTTCCACATGATTTTGTTTGCCTCCCACTCTTAAAATAAAATGAGCTATTCAATTATGTATACTTGTTTATAGTCATTTACATGTATGGATGGATTATGCACATTTTAAGATATTTAAATATATACAACTATGCACATTTTAAGGTATATTTTAAAATATAGTGCAGAATGGAAGTTGTAAGGGTGAAATAAATATTTTAGAAGTTTTTATAATTACTGAACTGTAACGTTCATCTATGGTAGATAGCTGTGACCCGATGTATATTCCTATCTTAAACAGCTAAAACTATTGGACAGAAACCATCCGGAAAACAAAAAACTTTTAACAGCACAGAATTATGATCTTTCAGAGCAAAACAAATGAGACTCGGCTGAAAGGAAGCAGTTATAGTAATATGCTTGTTATAGTTATACAATAATAGTCACTCCTTGTTTCTTCCACTGCACCTTCCCCTCTGAAACATAATGATTTATCTAAATAAGCAGCAAAAATCAAGAGATATCATTTGAGGCTGGCACACACAGGTCTGGCTACCTGCCTCTTTGGGTGATATGATTAAGAAGGAAGATTTGATTGGGCTCTCTGTAGAGAAACACTCTAACACTGAAATTATAAAACCTGGGGGAAGAAGATTCACATGGAAGCATTCCTATGGTATCCTGTGTGCTGCCTGTGAGTAATTGAAACAATTTTCATTATTGCAGTCCCTAGGAATGTGTCTTGTATATATAACTTTATCAGAATAAATGGATGTAACACCACCAAGGGTGGAATTCGTTCCAGTGTTCTGCTGACTTCTTGGGATGGGGAGAATCTGCTGCCACTTGTGTGTGCACTACACAGAGTCTGCGCAGTAGGGGAGTAACTTGCCATATTTCTCTAAATGCTGAGCATTCCAACAAATGTTTGGCCCTTGACCAGCTCCTGAGAAATAACCTCTTAGCATTTGGAATAGCTTGCCTTACAAAAATGTCTTTGTTGATCTGGAGCCTTGGATCATACATACATAGGCTATGCTAACAAGGCCATGTACGATGGGGCCTTGCACCATGCAATATCTGCCTGGTCTCTGGATGTCTGCTACTGCAGAGAGAGTAGCTGACATCTACCACAGAGTGTCAGAGATGGTGGTGTTTATGTGACTGTCCTCCAATAACAACCCTAAGCCCATGGAATAAACATCCATGGTTGAGACAACTCTGTGCAGGCTGACATGTATCATTTCTGGGATAATTAGTGATGTCTACCCAAGTACAGGAGAAAGGACTTGCACTTGGTCCTCCCTGCCCTCGGTGCCGTTTTCCCTTTGCTAACTTGGATTTATGTCTTTTCACCTTAGTTACCATAAGTACAATATGTTTGCTAATTCTGGGAGTCCTCACAGAGAAGTACTGAAACTGAGGGTGGTTTTAAGGATCTGCAGCTATAGTGCTAGACATTCCTAGACATTACTAAATTGCAGCACAGGAAAAGAAAATTCAAGAAAAACACAGAAGTCATGGTCAGTTGAAAGCAGAGAGACCAGAATTCCAGGGAGATGATGTGGCTAGAATTTATAGTACAGCTAAAATCTAATGGTAGAGAACTGATCCAAGAAGCAGCTCCAGAAATCTGTAGAGGAATCCCCGTGAGTTTTGATGAATATTAAACTAAGAAGCAGGAGTTAACATTCCATGAGGCTGCGCAATGAAAAACACAGAGAGCTGTGAGCTGAACAATTAAAGAAATCACCAGGGCCTAAATGATATTCACCTTTCGATAAGCTGAAAGAAACAGCAACAAATCCTATCCTTAAAGTAGGGTTAAATTCCCCATCATAAAAAGGCTGATCAAGGTTGTGTTAATGAAGTTTACAAACAATCTCAAAACAAATAAGACAAATTGATCTTCAAGTAACTGTATTTCTAGAACAGACTATCAAACTTCTTAAAGTAAATGGGGGTGGGGGGAAGGTTTCAACACTGTAAACCTATCTCCCAATAAAAATAGACATGCATGGCAAAGTGAAATTTCTTAATATGGCTCTTCTCTTCAAGCCTCTGCAACTCCTACCAAATGATTAAGCTCTGTTGTTTTTGTTGTTGTTGTTGTTAGGTGTCGTCTAATCAATTCCAACTCGTAGTGACACTCTGCACAGCAGAAAGAAACACTGCACGGATTATGCTCGCATCATAAATGTTCTGCTCCAGCCCATTGTGGTAGCCCATGTGTCCATGAATCTTGCTGAAGGTCCTCGTTTTTTGCTGCCCCTCTACTTGAATGCTTCTTAGAAGCAATGAAGATGAGACTTTGCCTCCCGTGGCTTTGAACATGTTAGCAGGACAGACCAGCCCGTGGAAAATGACATCATGCCTGGTGATGTAGGGGGTCAGTGGCAAAGAGGACGACTCGACAGAATGAAATGATTAGTTGGGACTTGAAAATATGGTGAGCAAATAATCAGAGAAGCTGAATTATATGAAGACTGTGGAATCCGTTCGGGAGAAAGCTTTATTAACAACCTAGGACGTGCAGACGACACACCAGGCTGGCTGGACGTGAGGAGGACTTGAAGAACATGCTGATCAAGGTCAAGGATTTCAGCTGTCAGTGTGGAATATAACTCAACTTAAAGAAGACCCAAATTCTCACAACTGGTCCAATAGGTAACATCACGATAAAATGAAAAAAAGTTTGTGGTTGTCAAGGACTTTGTCTTACTTGGATCCACAATCAATGTTCACGGAAATAGCAATCAAGAGATTAAAG